CAGTCAATAATTGATACTAATATTTCTGAAAGTAATAGCGAGTATATAACTTTTTTTCATCAGTGTATATCATTAAGAATCTTATCTGAGAATAATATTAAAATTTATTCCATTTTTTCTTTAGCATAAAATTCTACGTGAAATATCTACTAAAACTACGAGCTATCTAAAACACAACAAATAAAATCACAAAAAAAAAAAAGGGAACCGAATGTTTTATCTTCCATTAGTTATTCCTTTACCTATATGTAAAATCTACAAAAACAAAAGAGAATAATCAAACATGTTAATGTATATATATATAGATATACAAATAAACACACATATTATATGTGAAACTACAAATAAAGAAAGTCTAAAAAAAGAACTAAACCAATGAAATATTTTGGTAATACCAAAAAACAAAAAGAAGAATGTTAGAAAATTGAAATGATTATCAACTCGAAAGAAAATCCAAAGAAAAAGATGAAACTTTGTTTGTTTTTTTTGCTAATCTAATCAAAGAGATCATCTCTATCACAGTAACAAACACACATACAGAATAAAATGGTAAGACAGACAAAAAAAAGAAAAGAAAAGAAAAAACATCGAATTATTCTTGTTTATCTGGATCACTCATATGTCTCGAAAGACCTTTTAACATACCAAATGCACGTACACGTCGTCGACCTATTTTTGTAATTAAAATTAAATTCATTTTTATTTTCAATATTTAATAAACATACCAAATAATTTAGCAAGTGTTTCATCACAATTAACATATTGTTTATTAATTGGATCCTATTTAAAAAAAAAATCAAAAGAATATATTTTATATTTAATTTAAAGAGAAAAATTAATTTTACCAATAAATTATGTTCTTTAAAATAAACCCACATACGTTTAACAACTTCGGATCGAGGCATCTAAAAAAGAAAAAAAAGTAAAAAAAAGAAAAACTAATAAAATAATTTACTTGATGTCCACCAACAACAGCAGCTAATTGATCACTTAAATCTAATTCTTTATTATAACATGTTCGTCGTCGTTCAACTTTAAGTGATGGTGTTGTTGGTTTTTTATATATTGTTGTTGTACTTGTAGCACTCTTAAGAAAAACAATTTTCAATTTTAGGAAAAAAAAAATTTCAAAAAAAAAAAAGAATTTACAACTGTTCGACGAAGACTTGGACGATTTTCTTGTTGATGAATTTCCATAGCTAATTCTTCATCTGATTTATTTGTTTGTTGATTATTATCATTATTTGATTGTATTTGCATAGTTTTTGTTTGTGAATTATCATCCAATCTTTGTATATCATCATTCATAGAATTTTGTTCAACATTTGTTGGTATTGGCATAGCATCACGTGTTGTTATTTCAGCCATAAGTATATCATCAATTTCTTTTTTACGTTCAGTAAAATCACAATTAAATACAGCTTCAAGCATTTGTCGAACTTTTTTTGATGATAATGTATTTAAATCAGCATCTTTTAAAATTATTTGAATTTCTCGACGTAATTTATCAGCAGAAATTGAAGCCATCGGATTTTTGTTTTTCACAAATATAATAGTCAATAACACCCTGTCAATAATACAAGGTCACAAATAAATCTACGACGAACAATAGAAAGAGAAAAGAGCACAATATATGAATAGTTCAAATAAAATATGATGTCCATCATTAATTTGCTATTTCATTTTTACCAATCAGCTTTTTAAATTTCACCTTCATCTTTTTATTTTATTAAATTTATCATATTAATTATGTACCTAAAAAAATTCAAAACATTAATACAATATTTTTTGCTAATCAATTCAATATTAGTTTTTTATTAATTAATAGATGTCACTAATATACAGAATCAAAAAAAAACATGGAAATATATGTTAACATAAATTTTGATATTTAAATCATAGTTTTGTTGAATCCTTTCTATGTAAAATGAAATGTCTTGTTCGAGTTCTTTCACAATAAGATTTTTGTTTTCAACAAGGATTCGAAGTTAATTAATTATGCATGCAAATATTATATAAGAAAATGAAATCTTAAATTAGAAAGTAATGAATATTTGTAGGTTATCGGTAGATGATGTTCTTTAAAAACTAGTTCATATACAATATATAGATATCCTGGCATTTCATAACTATTCTTTTGTTTTTTTTTCATATATGATAATTAATAAAAATATTTGTTTAATCTTTGAGAGAATTTCTATTTTATAAAATATTTCTCTTGAACAAATTCTTATAAAGTTATTTATTTTCTAAGAGGCCAAATAGTAAATATTAGAAGAGAAAAATATTTCTCGTTATTTCCTTTGATTTCTATAACATTGACTTGTTTCTTTGATGTTTATTGTCATCAGTCAATATACGATACAAGTTTAACTTCAATCATCAGTTATGCTATAAAAATCAATCGATCAAAATTCTTTCTTTTTATTGTTGATATATGTTTTTTGTCTTTACATTTTATTAATTTATTTTGATTGATTTGATTTGTTTTTTGAGCAATAATCAAAGAATTAATAATCTTTTTGTTTTTTTTTGTTTTGTTTTTTTGAAGAAATAATATTTTATTGAAGAATATCCATTAATCGATTAATTTTTTTTTCTTATCTTTTTTGTTCTTTTAGATAAATTGATTTGTTAGATATGAGAATGTTAGTGAACATTAGAAGAAGAAAAAAAAAGGTTGTCATTGTCCTTTCGAATGGCTTAAGGGTAATATTCGATCTATCTCATCTAATCACATATATTGATGTGAAAAAAAAGAGATGATCTTTATTACAAATGACAAATGATTTTTTGCTTTTCTTATTCCATCACGCATCATCTCCTTTAGTTCGCCTCTGGTGCATATATCATATACGGATATGATCCAATCGTCATTCTCTATATCCACTTCTAATGATCTGTATCCTGTTCATTGTTGTTGAAGAATAGTTTTGTAGTAGGATGCAAACAGCAGCTGTTGCTCTTATATATATATATATATATATTCTTGTATATTAGAAGGAAATTTTTTTCTATACCTCTCTCAATAGACTAATGGGAAAGAAGAGCGTGCTTTTTTTCTTTTCTTTAACCTATTTTTAGACTTCGAGTTCTTTAATTGATTTGGTTCGCTTGTTCGTTTCGAACTACTTTCTCGTGGGACATAACGAGAGGCAATATTGCCAAAGGAAATTTCCGAGTGTTAAACCGATTAAGTAGACCATATACTCCTACATTTGGTTGTATTGATAGACATTACCTCAAGGAGTAAATAGAGAATTTACACAACAGGAGCTCAAATCCTTGATTATTCTCTTTAGTCAACAAGTTATCTTGAATTCTCTTCAACAAATAATACACTGTATATATATATATATATAAACCATTAAAAAAAGAATTAGAAAATGCCACAAAATACAAACGAGCATATGATGAGAATTTGCAATAATGATGATCATTGCTCGACATAGACAATCACTGATTGTACTATGATTAGAACTGTCAACGACTTATGTGTCTAAGTATATATCTTGAGTTAAAACATACGACAATTAGAAAAGGATACAAAAAGAACAATTAAGTTCGTTTGGCTTTGCTGAAGTCATATCAATAGATGTCTTATCACATATAACATACACATACAACAAGAAAAAACAAGAAGAAAACAAGATTGTCGAGCTTCTGATGATGATAAGATGATGATGATGATGATGATGATGAAGACGAACGACAACATAGAATGAATTCCAGCTTTAATTTATACAAAAAAAGCCAAAACCATTGACAGAATAAGAAACGACTGAAGAAAATAATGCACACATACATCACAAACATAATGGAAAAAATATAATCCGAGAAGCCTTAAGAAAACACAAACACACACAAACAAACATTTGATGGAGTTGATGAAAATTCATGTATTTACGTGATTACAGGTGGTAGTTGTTATAAGAATATTTATTTATATTATATAGATTATTCATTGACTCAATTGAATTAGAGATAATCTAGAAGGTGTGAACAATTCAATTATCACGCTATATGTGTATCGATCTATGAAAATATATTCTTCTCATTGCCATTATCGTTCTTATTGTCGACCCAAGGCGACTCGATAATGCCACCACTATAATAATAATAATAATAATAATAATCATCATCATCGACAACGACGACGATAACCAAGAAAGAATAAAACGAAGACAAAGAAACATCAACTGTTACGACTGGTTAAGTAACAGATCTTATCACCTGTTGCTAATCAAAGAAATAAAGAGCCTATATCGAAATAAATGGTGCACCCAGTTTTCTTTTAAAAAAACTAGACAATATCGAACTACTCATATGCCTCAATTATTCATTATACTATTTAATATATATAACAACGTGTATACAACGAAAGAAAAGCGTTAATATACAAGAAAAGAAATCAATTTCGTTTTTCCTGCCGTTCTCTGCTTCTGCTGCGCTCTCTCTCTCTCTCGTTTCTTCCATCGTTCTCCTTTTCTCCTTTTTGCCCATAATTGCTACAATTGGCAACTGTGAAAATACACACACACACACACACATATATACACACACAAACAGAACACTACACGCATTGGTACATACGTGCTCGTTCCGACTATTACTCGTGCCCACATTGTATAACGACGTCAATAAAAATAATAATAATGATAATCTTTTGTTTTCTTTTATGTTCAATAACTGATTGATTTAGTAATACATCGTTCTCACTTTATATATATATATTATATATATCAAAGTCTACTACAATTCATATTGATTATTTTTCTTACTTTTTATTGTTTTGTTTTGTCTGACATTATCATTATTATTATAATTATCATTACTCAATATCGTTTGTGAAAATCACGAATGTGCGATTCAAGTTAATGTTTTATTCAATTGTTTTCATATTTATCTTCTATATTTCCAATAGGAAAATTATTGCTCAAACATGTGTCCATTCATCGGATCCATTAGTACGATGCACGACACAAGGTCTTATACGTGGTATGCGTTCGGATTTTTTTGTTAATTCATCAAATTTAACAATTGAATCAAAAAGTGTTTATGCTTTTCTTGGTATTCCATATGGTGAACCACCTAATAATGAAAAACGTTTTCGTAAACCAATTCCAAAACGATCATGGACACGTGGTACTATATATGATGCAACAAAATTACCAAATTCATGTTATCAAATGATTATTGAATTTTTTAATACAACAGGCGAAAAAATTTGGGCACCATTTACACCATTAAGTGAAGATTGTTTATATTTAAATATTTGGACACCAATAACAGCACAACAACAAAAACAACCATTAGCTGTTATGATATGGATTTATGGAGGAGGTTTTACATCAGGATCAGTAAGTTAATTAAACAAAAAACAAAAAAACAAACAAATATAATTTAATTATTTGACAAAAAAAAAAATTGTTTTTTCTCTTTAGAGCGCATTACATATTTATGATGGTTCAATATTAGCTTCAACACAAAATGTAATTGTTGCTTCGATGGAATATCGTGTTGAATCACTTGGTTTTCTTTATTTGGGTACAACTGATGCACCAGGTAATCAAGGTTTATATGATCAATTATTAGCTATTGAATGGATATATAAAAATATAAAAAATTTTGGTGGTGATCCTCAACGTATAAGTTTATTTGGTGAATCAGCCGGTGCCGTTTCTGTTGGTTTACATTTATTATCACCAAAATCACGTCCTTTTTTTCATAATGCTATATTAGAAAGTGCTGGTCCAAGTGCTAAATGGGCTGTTTTAAGTCCACAAATAGCAAAATATCGTTCAGAAAAATTTTTAGATATTTTTACACGTTATATAACTGAACGTTATCAATCAGGTCCATCAGATTTTGAATATGCATATATACCACAAGAATGTAAAGAACGTATGATAACAATTGAAGATAAATTTAAATGTATTAAAAATTATCCAATATTAAGTCAAAATCATTTTCGTTCATCATGGGCACTTGAATCTTATAATGGTGGTCCTGTTGGTTATACATTTGTACCAACAATTGATGGTGATTTTATACCTTATGATCCTGAACAAATGTTAATTAAAGGTGATTTTAAAAAATGTCCTATTTTATTAGGTGTAAATAGAGATGAAGGATCATATTTTAATGTTTATGTACCATATGGAAATATGAGTATTGATTCATTACCGAATGTTGATTATAAAACATTTAAACTTGCTATTAAAGAATATTTTCGATATATGCCAACATATCCAACAGAAAGAGCACCTATGATATTAGAAAGTATTTTACAGACATATACAAGATGGCATGATTATACTAATACAGTACAGAATGCTATTCAATTGAGTTTAGCTGTTGGTAAGAAACTTTGTTGTTGATGTTGTTGTTTTTTTTATTATCTTTACATAGAATGATATTTTAATATGTTTACTTTTTTTTTTTTCTATAGGAGATTATCATTTTACATGCCCAACTGTATTTCTTGCTGATATCTATGCACAAGAGAATCTTCCACTTTATTTTTATCATTTTACTTTACGTTCTTCTACAAATCCTTGGCATGAATGGATGGGTGTACTTCATGGTAATGAGATATTTTTTCAATGGTTTTTCCTTAAAATGTTATTGATATATATTTAGCTGATGAAATAATGTTTATTTTTGGCGAACCATTAAATATCACTGATGATCTTCATTATACACTTGAAGAAATAATAGCCAGTCAAAAGATAATGGCATATTGGACTAATTTTGCAAAATACAGGTAATCGATATTTTTTCTGATATAGAAGAAAATAAACAAAGATTTGGTATTGATTAGTTTCTTTGCTAAATTTCTCTTTTCTCAAGAGACAACTATCATATCAATAACCATCTGTATTTATGCATATATAAAACCGTATGATGATAAATGAGTTAGTCAAAAAAAATATCTGAACAGTATGTTATATTAGTTGTAAATGATTGTCATTTATCAAAATACTTGTCATTAAGATACTTATATAAACATAGAAATAGATTCATTGACAATAATGTATTTATAAAAAAGTCAATAGATTTCTTAATGTGAAAACGAATATGTTGATCGAACTATCCTTAGCTTATTTTCTCGTCTAACTAGAGCAAATCTATAGTGAAATAGAACTACTTAATATAAACCTTTGATATGTACAATAAATTTTAAAAGACTATTATATTGATTATCAATGATCTTAAATTATGTTATGGATAAATTTGAGTGATGAAAATCATCAAATTTTTTTTTTGTTTTTTTTTTACTAAAAGACTGGCCTAATACAAATTACTTCTCAATCAATTGTTAATGCATTTTATACACATCTATTATCAACATATCTCTACTATTTCTGTAGATATTATATGACGAGGACAAATTTAAGACGTATATATACATTAATATAAATTTCATTTGTCATGAAATGAATGATTCAAGGCATAACTATTAATAACTTGTTCAAGATTCCAGTCATTTTGACCAATACAATATACATTCGTAGAGTATTCTAATTCAATCGAGTTATTTATATAAACTTTTTATGTTCTATTTTTATTCTTCCTAAATAACATTATCTTAGTATACTATAATAATTTCCCTTGTCACTACTATTTATTATTGAATAAAGCGAAAAATCTATTTAATTTAAAATAAATGTAAAGTGGACAGAAAATTTCAAAATACTTTTTATTTCTATGTTTTTTCATGATAAGAAATATCTTTTCAATATTATGCGAAGTATGAGCTAAGATCTCTTCATCTCATTAATTGTACAATGAATAAAGATAGAAAACTACAAGTTCTTTCTAGTCGAAAAAAATTTTAAAACACTTTCAACTGATAAATAAAGTATTACTATTTATAATAGTTTAATATTCATTTTTATTAATTAATAACTATGAAAGAAAATTTTAATAATGGTAGACAAACCATTGAAAACTGAATAAATCCATGAATTTTTTGTTTTACAATAAGTTGTTGTTTGTAAACATTCTATAAAATGTAATTCATACTCAATAAACATCTAAGATAATTGACCTTTAAACTAAAATAGTAAAACTTCGAAAACTTAGTGTATATTATAGAGAAAATTTTCTACCATATACATAGCTTTTCGATGTTTTACAGTTCCAGTTTAAAAATCAATTATCTTAATTGTTTATAGAATATGAATTAAATTTTCTATAGAGTTTACAAAAATTCTACTACAATGAGTTCTTGCAAAACAAAAAATTCATAGTTTTGTTCAGTTTTCAATGCTATGTCTAATATTATACTTGGAAGACAAACATTATTACAATTTTTATTGTATGCTAATGATTTCATTTTATTTTATTTTTTTTGTAAAAATTCAGCAATCCAAATCAACGACATGATGCACAATGGGCTAATGAATGGCGTCAGTATAAATGGCCAAGTCGAGAACATATTGTATTAAATATTAATTTAAGTAAAAATCTTTCTCCTGATCATGGTACAGCTGTTCGTGCTGATTATTGTTCATTTTGGCTTGATTTTATACCAAAATTAGCAAGCGCAACTTGTATGTTCTTAATTAAAAAAATATTCGAAAGGAAAAAAAAACATTTTGTTTTTTCTTTTTATTTTTGCAGCAAATATTAGTGAAGAAGAAACACGATGGAAACATGAATTTCGTCAATATCAAGAACGTATTGAACAATGGGATCATTATTATAAAAAATATTTTGCATTACTTGAAAAAAATGGCGATAAACTTCTTAATTGTATTGGTTAACATTATAATTTTCTTTGTTAGTTTTGTTTTCTTTTTCTATAAATTAGTTTCCGTCCATTTGTTGTGTTTTTTTGTTTTCTGTTTGATCATTATCTTTTACCTTTCTTTCTCCCTTTAGAGTTTTTTTGGCGTTTCTTTTTGTTTTTTTTTTGGTGTTGTACATATTTAATTAAATATTGTCATTACGTTGTATTTGTCTGTGTCTGTGTGTACGCGTGTTTATTTTGATATAATAGAAATGTTTGTTTGATCTTCTGGATTAATAATAAAAAAGTCCAAATACAGTAACAGCACAGAAAATCTTTGTATTTGAATAAACATATGATGCATAATTATCTGTTTCAATATCCCATAAACAACGGCATGTCATCATTAAATTATCATCTTGACATTGACCAAGTACAACTTGTATAACATATTTATATTGCTCATAATTTAATGATTTCATTGCATCTTTTATTATTTGTGAAAGATCTTTTGATAATTGAGTACATTTATCACAATCATATTCATTTTGTTTATCAATTATTTGTTGAATTAATTGTTCAAGCATTTGTTTTACTTCATTTGTATTAAATGAACGTGATGATTTAGAATGAATATTACTAGAAAAATTTAAATTTGATATTGCATTTGAATAATTCATAGATTAATCAATAGAATAGATTAATATATAACAATAAAAACAAAACGAAAAAAGAATTTTTTTTATTGATGGCGCTTTGAGTGTTTTTTTTTGTTGCATGAAAAAAACCAATCAAGACAATCTTTTTATTTCAAAGAAAATATTATATTAGCTCGTTATCTTTGATAGTGACTGCAGGATAGCCACTGATAAAATAAACACACAAATACAGTGCTGGTGTCATTCACATGCTGATAGCATAGATAAAACACCCAGATCCATTTTACTTCATGCGGAATACTTTGATCAATCTAGTGATCATTGGAAGAAAGGAAAGTGTAGAACGAGCTGAAAAATTCTACGGTTCTCCTCTATAATGATAGTTTTGAATAGATAAGAGTAATATGCAATTTTTTATTTGACTATATAAGACAAGAAGAAGATATGAAAAAATATTTTTAACAATATATCTACTTAATGATAATTCTTTTTAAATACCTTTTTAATCATCTAGTAATAATATAATCAATCAAGACATTTTATCGACGATAATTATTTTGTTCGACTTCTAATTTGATAAGGTTCAAAAAAAGAAATATAAAATGATATACGTCGTTCCATGTTTTTTACCTGGTGATGATTGCTACAGAACCTATTTCGTGATTTAGCGTCTCTTATTTGACGAAATATTGGAAAACTTGTGCGACACATTTAAATAACTACTAAACATTTTCGTTGATATCTATCACATAAAACATCTCTGAAATGTGTTTTTGTCTGCAAGTGGAAAAGACCTCTAAGCAAAAATTTTATTTTTTCTAAAATTATCAATTTTGTACATCACACTTTTCACAAATAGAGCGATAAATCAAAATATTTTTTTTTACCAACTGATAGTTTATAAAGTTTTCTATATAAGCATAAGTTTAATTGTAACCATCTGAATTGATACACTGTAAACCTATGATTCAGTACTCCAATGAGATTCAAAGATCTTCTTGCTACGGCCAATATCATTCGAAAAAGCCTTGTATTACAGTCATCACATAGTATTCAGAAAATCAGGAACGATGGAAAGACGTTAATCGTCTGGAATGATTCTTAAAAGGACAAGTGGCGATAAGGTCATGTTTTCGCCCCCAACATTTTTTGAAAAAAAATTACATGATTAGAATCAGCATCAAATTCTCAACAAAACTATGTACTTTTTCTTTAGAGAGAAAATTTTTTTTCCTCCCTTCAATTTGATCTAGATATAGGTTATCGACCATGCTAATCACGAATATAAAGTTTGTTTTGCATTAAAAAAAGTGATTTAAACGAAGAAACAGCTTATTCTCGAAACGGATGTTTTTTTGACCTCAATTTTGATCTCAGTCGGAAAATCACTACCTTTTAACTCTAAAAGATAGTTTGGAATAGTAATAATACGTTATATATGTGTGAAAATGATTGTTCTATGAATCTCTGATAGATTAATGACTTAACAAATATATATTTTCAGTTTATTTGCCTAAAAACTGGTAAAAACAGGAACAAAGACCTATATACTCTGAAGCGTAGGCCAATTTTGTTTCTAACCAGTTGTTAATCCAATGAGTTCTATATATAGATTGATGGAGTTTTTCATGTTCTATCCAAATATGACTTTAAAAAGAAGAAAAAAAATGGAGAAAGTACTCAAAAAGTGGAAACACTAGAAAAAGAACAGAAAAGTGATAAAAATAACCAAATATTTCCAGACTATGACCAACAAAAAATAGTTTTGAGATAGAATGAATATGATATTCAAAATCAGAATGCAAAATTACATCTCATAGCATGAATTCTATTTAAAAATTTTTTTTTTCACAAAAATTCTATTGAGGGGAACCACAAACAAAATTAAATGAGAAAAGCACTGACGGGTACCAGGAATCGAATTTTGATGGAAAATTTTTTTAAATAGAATTCATGCTATGAGATGTAATTTTGCATTCTGATTCTGAATATCATATTCATTTTGTCTCAAAACTATTTTTTGTTGGTCATAGTCTGGAAATATTTGGTTATTTTTATCACTTTTCTGTTCTTTTTCTAGTGTTTCCACTTTTTGAGTACTTTCTTCATTTTTTTTCTTCTTTTTAAAGTCATATTTGGATAGAACATGAAAAACTCCATCAATCTATATATAGAACTCATTGGGTCAAAAACTGGTTTAGGAACAAAATTGGCCTACGCTTCCGAGTATATAGGTCTTTGTTCCTGTTTTTACCAGTTTTTAGGCAAATAAACTGTAAATATATATTTGTTAAGTCATTAATCTATCAGAAATTCATAGAACAATCATTTCCACACATAGTAGAAATGTAATATCTCGACAGTAATAAGCTAGCGGCACGAACTTTTTTCAGAGTATTCATAGATCATCGGGATCTACATGATGCGCATATACTCGACTCAAAAGCAATGTGACAGTTGGGAATATTCCCTCATAAGTCAAGTATCATATCATTTCGTCACTGATCATGAAGTCTAGCGAGTTCTTCAAAAAAACTTCGATGAAAACTCACTGGTTGAAGAATCATCTTTTTCGCTTACTGATATCTACTATGACTGTTAGAATTGTCGAAAGCAATTATCTAGTGAAATATTTTCTTTTGACATATTATTTTGAGTTGCAAATTACGACAATTCTCATATTAATCGATAATCTATCGAATTATTCAAGAACTCGGCGATTAATAATTCTTCGTGTGATCGAAACTCGGAAGCAACATTAAAGCTAACTCGGGTTTGATGAAGGAATTTTAAAATCAGATTTTTACTTTAAGAGTTTCGCATAAAGTTAGAGAAGAACGAGAGAAGATTGGTCATATGCGTCTGAATAAAAAAATATTTGATTCTCTGACACAAAAACAATAGAAGAAAAACTTGCACAAACAATCAACAGTGATTGATTGAATATTTGTCTAACTATAGATGCACGTTGTATACACGAATAGTTTGAATATATTGCGTGTATAAAAGTAGATTTTCCACCTCAGGGAAAGAATTTTCAAGTCATTGGTTGTGTTTCAATATTCGTGTTAATTGGATGAAAAAATGTCTTTTCATAATTCTAATAATAACTGTGCCACACTTTAGTTGGTCTTGGAGTGAGTTTCACATATAAGATGATTACAATCGTTATGTTCATATTGCTGAATATCAATCAAAACAGTGCAAATGATCTCGTCTAAAACAAAAAATGTGTGTGATTCTTGCCGAGTAACTTATAATTAGTTGAAGAAAAAAATAATCCAGATTTTCGTAATATACTATTATGCATTGAACAAGAAATGTCGAAAAAAGTGTTGAATAAGTTTTAGAAAACTGTAGAATAATAAACTCTATAAGTTTTAATTAGTCCCATAGACTCTACATCAAATTTTCATAAATCCTTTTAGTATACATTCAAATTTTACAAAATCAGAAAAATTGTACTATAGTCAAGATTGATTTCAGCTATCCGTAGTTATATAACTATTACAATGGGGACAATTATCTTGATGTTGATCTTCTCGCAGATCCAGACCTGGTTGAAAATGATCTTAAGATAGTGCTCAGCATGGCTCTTTGGTTCTACAATAGAAATGGTATGACTGCATTAGCTCAAAGAGATGGTTTTGCTGCTACGACGCGCATCATCAACGGCAATATCAAGTGTAACGATGAGCCAGGTTACATTAATCACTTGACTCGTGTAGAGACGTACAAACGTGTCGGTCAATGGTTTAATCTGGGAGAATCTTTCATAAATCCTTTTTCTTCTTTCTCTTCTGAAAATAGTTTATCGATCCAAAAAAAATTCTCAATTTGAATTACAATTTGTCTTTCTTTTTCTTTTTTGAGTGATCCGTTTATGTTTATTATTCAATCATTCTTTCTCTCGCTGTCTCCTTGTTTTACTACTTTCAATCTTCTCTTTTTCATTTTTAGTTACTTCTTCATTTTTGTTCTTTCGTTGCTTTTCTCATTTATTATTTGTTTCTATGATAGATAGAACAAAGAATAAATGTGTGTATGACGCGTCAAGTATTATTTCTGAGAATAGCACTAGAACGCTTGTTGTATTTTTTATTTCAAGGCATTAATATAGGAAACTCTATGGCATATAGAGAATTTCTTGTTCCTATGATTCTACTTTAAAAAGAATAGTTTAAGATATTATCTGATACTGCACATGAATATGTGATAAATCTAGTTTCATAAAAAGAACATCAACTTATTATCGTCTAAACTGTTTTCGAATAGTACTGTGAGTTTTCTGTTGACATCGAAACAATCCTACGATAGAATCACTTTTTATTTCAAATGAGAAGTACAAGATCGACACAAATGCAATGTATATCACATGTTGTAGATAATCCGCAATCATATGTTAAAATGATTGTCATAGTTTGATTATAAATTTTAGGATTCAATCTTCGAAAGCTTCTTATAACAGTGCTATACGAAATCATAGAGAATGATTTAGAATTGAGTGACAATTCTAGTGAAATATCTTATAAGCAAGATCTTGGTCAAGATATGAGATACAGAAAAGCGAACAGATCATGAAAATTTAGATACAAGTAAATCACACTATCCTGTATCAAGATCTGTAATTCGATCTTAGATACAGATTTATAAGATCTTGGTAATAGATATTCAATATCTTTAATTTGATATTTTGTCTTCTATGATATTCTTTACTGATCTTTGGTAATAAGTTCGAAAATATGTCTATTTATATAAACTACAGCTAGAACAAACTGTTTTCGTCTGCTCTTAATAATATTTGCGTATAATTTTTTCGTTATATCTCTAATTGTTATTCTTGTTCATCATTATTGTCAATTGTTGACGAATGTACAATTGTTGCTACTGATGCTGTGTCATTATTCTATCTTAATTTTTATTTAATGGTATTAAATGGTAATGATCACATTAAATCGATGATCATGGATGTAAGAATATCTTTAGCTGATAAATTAAAACGTTACATATAAAAAAATCTA